TTGCTCATGCAGCACATAGTTAAACTATGGAACTCAATGCCACAGGAAGCAGTGATGGCCACCAGCCTGGTAAAGGTAAAGGGACACCTGACCATTAGGTCCAGTACCTATTTATCTACTTGCACTTTGACGTGCTTCTAAACTGCTAGGTTGGCAGGAGCAGGGACTGAGCAACGGGAGCTCACTCCGTCGCAGGGATTCGAACCGCCAACCTTCTGATCGGCAAGTCCTAGGCTCTGTGGTTTAACCCACAGAGCCACCCGCGTCCCTATGTAGCACATATTCAACACACAAAAAACAGCGAAAATTTGCTGTTGATAAAGGACAGCTGGACATATAAAGGGCCCCATGGTTTACTCAGTAGAAGGCAGTTTCTTACGCTCCTGTTTCCCTTTAGTGGCTTGTTGTTTGCATTTAACTTTGCTGCCTGAACTTTGTAATAGCAATATTGTAGTTTTTAATATTCTGTTTTAATTACTTTCTCATTCTCATTGATTGCTTTGCCTGTTGCATGTTGCTTTGCAGAAAAACAAGATACAAATGAAATTGCCACCAGACTGGAATGGGGAAATCAGATCATGGAACAAGAGGGGAAGGGAAATCAGCCAGGCGCCTGGGACCTGGGCAAACGCTGGACTTTTAAGCAACAACAATTCCGTGAACTCAAAACCCTGCAAAATTCGAAACTGGAGAAAGTCCTCTGAGGTTGCCGCTGATTGCCGCCTCCTATTTATTAATCTTGGAGCAGAGGAGAAAAGAAGAGATAAATAATCTCGAGACGGAACAATTGCTGATTATTTGCGACATCAGCCATGGCACAGCTTCCGAGAGCCCTGGGGCCCTCTCAGACCTCCCTCTTTATTAATCAGAGATAAGTCCAAATTGCGGGGCAATCTGCGACTGTGTCACAATCGATTGTTAATTGTTCCATTTGAAGATTATTTATCTCCCTCCCTCCAGATCCTCCTCTCTGCCTCCCCCGCCCCCATCTACCCCTCTCCAGCTCTCGTCCATAAAATTGGAAATAAGTCCAATTCATCTTTAAGTGGCTAATGTCCCCTGGAGGAGGCAATATCACTCACAGTTATGAGCTGCCATGAAGATCTTTGGGGAGGGGGCACAGGCCCCATGGAGAGGATGTTGGCCCTTCGCATTTCTTGGGGATGCACCAGGGGGACATTTTGGAGAGAAGGAGATTGGCGTCTGTTATGTATTGAGTTCAATAGGATCCAAAATGCAGCAGTCTGATTGGTCCTAGAACAATAAGATCCAGAATGCAGCAGTCTGATTGGTCCGCAGGAGCCACCCAATCCAACTCCAGGTGGAAGTGAATCCACAACATGATTGGCCTACAGGAGAATCCCAGAATTAGCCAATTACGTGGGGCCCATTGTGTAAATAATGTATATAAGGCAGACATTTCAGGGAAACTTCCACTCCTCACAGCTATGAGCTGAATAAAGAGCATGAAATCCACACTCGACTCTAAGTATACAGTGGTACCTCGGGTTACATACGCTTCAGGTTACATACGCTTCAGGTTACAGACTCCGCTAACCCAGAAATAGTACCTCGGGTTAAGAACTTTGCTTCAAGATGAGAACAGAAATCGCGCAGCGGCGGCGGGAGGCCCCATTAGCTAAGTGGTACCTCAGGTTAAGAACAGTTTCAGGTTAAGAACAGACCTCCGGAACGAATTAAGTACTTAACCTGAGGTACCACTGTCTTTCAGTGTCTTTTTTCAAGCCTTTCTCACAGAAGACAGGGGTGCAGAATGAAAGTCATTGGTCCCGTTCTAGAAGCATCGGACCCCTGCCTGCCATTGAGAGCCAAACCCTTGTTCCACATTGCCCACTGCACTGAGCGGCAGCCTCACTCACACAGGGTCTTACCTGCAGAGACCAGGGATTGTAAAGGAGGATGCGGCTATTGTGGAGAACCTGAGTGAGATCCTTGCACCGGCTTCTTTACAATGTTTCTGTAAAGACACCATATCACTAGTGAAGATCTAGGGTAGATCTCAGGGCCTGAATCAAACGTTGCAGGAAGCGAATATGGAGAACAAAAGCAGTGACTAAAGAAGAAATTCCAGAGAAAGAAGGCACGTTTTATCACATGTGGTGGAATTGTAAAGTAACCAAAAGCTATTGGGAAATGATTTATAATGAAATGAAAAAAATGTTTAAGACAACCTTTGTTAAAAGACCAGAAGCATTTTTCCTAGGTATTAGAGGTCAAGACTTGCCAAAAGAGTGGAAGAAACTATTTATGTATGCTACAACAGTGGCTAGGATATTACTAGCCCCAAAATGGAAAGACGACAAGATATCCACGGAAGAAGAATGGCAAGAAAAGTTGATGGAATACGCTGAAATGGCAAAGCTCACTGAAAGACTCAGAGACAAGGACAACAGAGACTTTAAAACGGACTGGGAACAGTTTATGGCATAGCTGTCAACCGTCCCTTATTTGGCGGGAAAGTCCCTTATCCCAGCTCCATGTCCTGCTGCTGTCCCTTATTGATGATGTCCCTTAAATTTCCTGGGTTTCAAAGGAAGCAGCTCCTCTCCCTCCCTCCCTGCCGGCCAGGGAGGAGGGAGGCTCCAACTGTGTTGCTCACCCAATAAGGAGTCTAAGAACGACTGGGGGGTGGAGCTTGCATGCCTTGTGCCAATCAAATCGGCCGCGTTGCCTGGGGACTCGCCTTTGCTCAGCGCTTCCCAGTGGAGAGGTGACAGTGGTTTTCCTTGCTGCATCCCCTTTGCCAGGTTGCTGCGCTGTGGGAACCACCACTTGAGGCTTCGTTTGGCTGCTGGCTGGGCTTTCTGCCTTTGGCTCGGAGGGGCTCAGAAGTTGAACATACCTGTGCTTGGAAAATCCCTTATTTTGGCTGTTGATCCCTTATTTTTGAGGCTGCTGGTCCCTTAGAGCCAGTGTGGTGTAGTGGTTAAGAGCGGTGGACTCGTAATCTGGTGCACTGGGTTCGCGTCTCCGCTCCTCCACCTGCAGCTGCTGGGTGACCTTGGGCTAGTCACGCTTCTTTGAAGTCTCTCAGCCTCACTCACCTCACAGAGTGTTTGTTGTGGGGGAGGAAGGGAAAGGAGATTGTTAGCCGCTTTTCGACTCCTTTTGGTAGTGATAAAGCGGGATATCAAATCCAAATTCTTCTTCTTCTTCTTCTTCTTCTTCTTCTTCTTCTTCTTCTTCTTCTTCTTTTCAAATCTGTAAGTTGACAGCTATGGTTTATGGTGTATTTACAGAAACATTGTAAAGAAGTAGACTGTAAAGAGTAAAGAAGAAGAGTAAACACTTACAATTAAGAAAACAAGCATCAAAGTTAAGATGCAATAATTGGGTAAAGAACAAAATCTAAGATGTAATTTGAAAAATATGGTATAAAAATGATAAGAATGCAACAATATTTAACTAAAAGATTACAAAATTAAAGTAGAATAAAATAGGCAGGAGAAGCAAATATTTATTGAACCAGAAGAGGAAACTGAGGGAAGTCATGGGAGGGGGGTGGGGAAGATTCTTTTTGTGATAAAGATGATTGTGTTGAATATAAAATTGTAAAACTTAGAAGGCACATTCTTTCACCTTTGGTGGACGTGCCCAAGGATTAAGGCTTTCTGGGAGATGATTTATAATGAAATAAAAAAGGTATTTAAATATACCTTTCTGAAGAAACCAGAGGCCTTTCTTCTGGGCATTGTCGGCCAATTGGTGCCAAAGAAGGATAGAACTTTTTTTATGTATGCCACAACAGCAGCAAGAATACTCATTGCAAAGTATTGGAAGACACAAGATCTACCCACTCTGGAAGAATGGCAGATGAAGGTGATTGACTACATGGAATTGGCGGAAATGACTGGCAGAATCCGAGACCAGGGAGAAGAGTCAGTGAAAGAAGACTGGAAGAAATTTAAAGATTATTTACAGAAATATTGTAAAATTAAGGAATTTTAGAAGGATGTTGGATAGAAATTAAGTGGTTTCCAGCTGTAATGCTTTAAGAGATACGAAAAAGGGCTTACAAATGGTAAAAGCTTAATGGTAAGGATTTGCTGAACTAACAAATTGAACTGGAATACAAAAAAGGGAGGTACGAGGAGGTCCGGGGAAATAAGTGCAAGGAAGATAGGTTATGGAAAATTAACGTGTTTTTAACTGTTTTATTTTGTATGTTTCTTTTTTTTTTGTTATATCTTAAAAACTTTATACTTTTTTTCTGTATTCTGTATTTTCCTGTATTTTTTGAAACTTTAATAAATATCATTTTTTAAAAAAAATAAAATTGTAAAACTTAATAAAAATTATTTTTTTTTAAAAAAAGACAAGACATTCTAGACCTAATGGTGTTCTCTGATGCAGAAGTTCCTTTGGCCAGGAGTTGGGATAAGGAAAAGGTTTTAAACAGCAGTTTGCGGGTTGGAGAGAGTGAAGTCTATACAGGCAAGTCTATACTGAAGACTTTTATTTGAAAAAAGAGGAGGGGGCTCTTTCAAGTTAAGAGAGAAACAAGATTCACCCATCATTACAGTGGTACCTCTAGTTGTGGACTTAATCTGTTTCGGGGTGCTGTTCGCACCCCAAAAAGTCTGCAACTAGAGCGCCTCTTCTGCGCATGTGTGCGGCACAATTGAGCACGTCTGCACATGCGTGGGCAGCAAACCTGGAAGTAAACACTTACAGGTTGGCTGCATTCATAAGCTGAAAGTCTGTAACAAGAGCAGAGTGCAACATGAGGTATGACTGTATATATCACAGTGAAGTAATAATAATAATAATAATAATAATAATAATAATAATAATAATAATTTTATTATTTTTACCCTGCCCATCTGACTGGGTTGCCCCAGCCACTCTGGGTGGCTTCCAATATATATTAAAACTTAATAAAACAATACACATTGAAAGGCTCCCCTCTACAGGGCTGCCTTCAGATGTCATCTAAAAGTTCTGTAGTTCTTTATCTACTTGACAACTGGCTACATATGTCAATGATTTTGGTCAGCAGCTCGCCCCTGTAGGTTGTCCCTTCCACTTTGTCCAGGTGGATCATCAGCTTCTTCACAATCTCCATCAAGTTCTTCTTGGACACTGTAGAGAAGATCTGAGGCCCGGAGGCAGATGGACTCGTCTTTATGATCCAAGCATTGCAGGATGAGATCCTTGTGGGACTGGACTGATTTGGGGTGGGTTTTCGGGATCTTGGACATCGCCAGCAGCCCCAGATATTTCAAGTTCTGGTCCGAAACTTCTATCAGTATCCTCAGCTTCTGAACGCAGAGCCGGATGCTGGCACTGTGTTTAAAGGTAAAGGGACCCCTGACCATTAGGTCCAGTCATGGCGGACTCTGGGGTTGCAGCGCTTGTCTCGCTTTATTGGCCTTGGGAGCCGGCGTACAGCTTCCAGGTCATGTGGCCAGCATGACTAAGCCATTTCTGGCGAACCAGAGCAGCGCACAGAAATGCCGTTTACCTTCCCGCCGGAGCGGTACCTGTTTATCTACTTGCACTTTGATGTGCTTTCGAACTGCTAGGTTGGCAGGGGCAGGGACCGAGCAATGGGAGCTCACGCCGTCGCAGGGATTCGAACCACCAACCTTCTGATCAGCAAGTCCTAGGCTCTGTGGTTTAACCCACAGCGCCACCTGCGTCCCGGCACTGTGATTGGGCAACCCCAATAATGGTTTTACAATACGATACAATACTTGACAACTGATGGGAGAGTGTTCCACAGGGCGGGTGCCACTACCAAGAAGGTCCTCTGTCTGGTTCCTTGTAGCTTCACTTCTCAGAGCTTCACCCCATTGGGGAAGGCTTCTCCAACCACCACAACATGCATGTCAGTCCTCCACAATTATCATGGCCATTATCCAGATGTCTGGGCTTCCTTGCCTTTTAATTCCTTGTGTATCACAATCCACCACCGGTCCTCATTTGTAGCTCCCCGCCAGACTATTCCTATGCAATTTGCTCCACTTTAGCAGAGCTCCTGCTAATCTGAGCCTTTTGGATGTTCCTCCCTGGCCAGGTCACAGAGACTGGTTTCTCCCTGGGGTGAATGGCTCCAGTGCATAATTTAATTTCAAAAAGAGTGGGGGAAATGCAGAGAATACTTCACAAAACAGTGCCCTAAAATACATACCTGGACTTGTTTCGATTAATGTCTGCAGGAGACTTTGTGGATATTTAAGTGATAATTAGAAAAATCTGAACAATTATTCATCAAGGAAACAGCTTATAAGATGTAAATAAGGAGGCCAGATATAGGATAATGGAAGTCTTTTATTTGGTTGTTTCTGTTGTTGTATGTTATGCTCATTGTATGTTATGTTCATGTTTAATGAGGGTGGATTTCTGTATTGGGGGTGGGGTGGGGGGTTTATGTTATGTTGTAAATAAAATTTCCAATGAAAAATTATTAATAAACAAAAACAGTGCATAATTTAATTTATCCATTAGCATTGTCACATGACTCATCCCAGAAGTTCAGGGGGCTCATAATGAAGGCTGCGTCCAAAAAAACCAACAACTTGTGTTTAACGTCAAAAAGCGTCAAAACATACCTTCCATTTTTGGCACTCGTCACAAATTTCCTCACTTTATTTCAGTGCCACATTGTGCAGATCTTCACCTTTCCTTTAATTGACCACGTTGATGGCTTGTCACAGGCTGCCACATCAAACAGCGGTGAGGGAAGACGAGTCCAAGAATAGTTGCCCGTGACATTCCATGGCTGACCACCTGATGTGGTCGATCCCATCAGGGTGCCAAATCTGATGCGCTGATGTCCCGGGTGACTGCAAGCGAAGTCGTGTGGCTTGCAACTGCAAAGTGAATTAAATGGCAGGGTGGGCAAATGACAGCAAGGGCAGTGAAGGAAGAGAAGGAGAAACTTGCTGCGCTGAAGAAGCAGCCAGGAGAACTTAAGGCAAGGCTATCAAAGAGCATCAAAACAACGCAAAGATACAGCTGAGCCCTTCTGCTGCCATTTGCTCAGAGACTACATCAGATGGGCACTTCAGAGTGGATGTCACAATTAGGAAAGATTCAACACAGCTGGAATGATAATGTATTTAAAATAGAATTGTCCTGTGATTTCAACAGGATTGGGTTGGGGGGCTCTCTGTTGGGGCCAGGATGTCTATTTTTAAAGGTATATATATTTTTATTAAGTTTTACCTAACAAATTTAAATTCAAATACACCATTCACCTCCTCATTTAGGATTCTCTGAATCCCTTGACTTTCCTCCACTCTTCCATGGTTACCATCAGCAAGCTTTTCCCCCATCTGCTTATCTTATTTTCTCTGAGTGTCTGGAGGCAGTTGGAGGATGGATGGCAGCTAACAGATTGAGCTTGAATCCTGACAAGACAGAAGTACTGTTTCTGGGGGACAGGGGGTGGGCAGGTGTGGGGGATTCCCTGGTCCTGAATGGGGTAATTGTGCCCCTGAAGGACCAGGTACGCAGCCTGGGAGTCATTTTGGACTCACAGCTGTCCATGGAGGTCAATTCTGTGTCCTGGGCAGCTGTCTACCAGCTCCATCTGAGACGCAGGATGAGACCCTCCCTGTCTGCAGACTGTCTTGCCAGAGTGGTGCATGCTCCACGCTAAACGGCCTCGGTCCAGTATACCTGAAGGAACATCTCCACCCCCATCATTCAGCCCGGACACTGAGGTCCAGCACCGAGGGCCTTCTGGCGGTTCCCTCCCTGCGAAAAGCCAAGTTACAGGGAACCAAGCAGAGGGCCTTCTCAGTAGTGGCACCCGCCCTGTGGAATGCCCTTCCGCCCTGACCCACCCTGGCTCCCTGCTTGCAAGCCTGTTCCTGACTTCACCTGACTCCCTGCCCTGCACCCAGCTTCAGCTACTATGGACTGCCTCCATGTTGCACCTCTGACCACGGACACTAGACTTGGACCTCGCCTCTCAGGTAACCCACAGGACCAGCACAGTCATCTTTGACTGGACTCAACCAACCAGGGGTCCTTTACCTTTTTTACATGAATAGTCGGTTCTGCTCCCTGGGGCCAGAATGTCTAAGGAAGCTGACTTGCCTCCCCTTCTACCTCCCCAGCACATCTCCTAAAATGCACACCCTGTGATCGTGCACACCTACCTCATGTGGCACACATGAAGCAACCTCAGTGAGCCCTGCAGGGGATAATGCAGTGAACAGGATTGTCCATCACCTCTAGAAAGGAACATGATTGGGCAAGAGGCCCCTTCTGGCATTGCCCCAGGCAAAAGAGTGAGCAAGACTTCTTGCACACCATCTGCATAAGGACGTACACAAGGAAGCATCCTCTGGTCTTGTTCATGGAAGAAATGCCCCCATCTATTCCTGCTATAGCCTGACTTGCTGTTTGGGGTTCCCTTGGACTGGCTCATCACCATCTTTCCATCTCCCTTGGCTTCTGTCGCTTATTACTGTCCTGAATGAAGGGGAGGCCTTCTGGGCTGCAGTCAGTGGCTGTGGCTTTTGAAACACTGGCAATCTTTGAAGTCCACATCAGCTACGCTGAGCCATGGAGGAGACTATTTTTGGAATCAATAGGCAGTGCCCTGCCAATTTTTGCAGAAAGACAGAAGGGGTTTTAAAAGCAGCAATGCTTTTTTAAAAAGGAAGGAGTGAGAAAGAGATAGTCAAGTCACCAGCAGCGATGTTCAATGGGACTCCTCCTCCTCCTCTTCCTTTTCAATGGCTCAGCCTGGTTAGTTAACAATGCTCAGCTCCACCAACTCCTAGGCATTGTTTTTCTCTCTCCATACCTCTCTGAAATACAATCATATAACTTTGTCTGCTCTCTGTGGACATTCACTTACGTTTTCCAAGTCATGTTGCTTTTCCTGAACAGCCAAGTCATGCAAGACCTAAGTTTGCTTGCTTGAAGCCCTTTGCAGCACAGCTCAACTCAAGAGCAAACTGGCCGTATAACAGTGGTGGACGAACCTATGGCAGGCGTGCCAAAGGGGGCACTCAGAGCCCTCTCTGTGGGCACACATGCAGCCACCCTAGCAGCTCCTGACCACTTCCGCGTGGAGGGGGAGGAAGAGGAGGAGTAGAGGAAGACTGCCTTGAAGCAGAAACTGCCACTATGTCAAGCCTGCAGCTCTGCCTCCCTGCGATCAGCTGTTCCAAGGGTGTGAGGGTGGGGGGAGAAGGAGGAGAAGAAGAGGGCTTGCACTGCCCTCCATCCAAATAATAATAATAATAATAATCATAGTAATAATAATAATAATAATTTTATTATTTATACCCCGCCCATCTGGCTGGGCTTCCCCATCCACTCTGGGTGGCTTTCAACAAAATATTAAAATACAGTAGTGCAACAAACATTAATAGCTTCCCTAAACAGGGCTGCCTTCAGATGTCTTCTAAAAGTCTGGGAGTTGTTGTTCTCTTTGACATCTGGTGGGAGGGCATTCCACAGGGCGGGTGCCACTACTGAGAAGGCCCTCTGCTTGGTTCCCTGTAACTTGGCTTCTCGCAGGGAGGACACCGCCAGAAGGCCCTCGGAGCTGGACCTCAGTGTCCGGGCTGAATGATGGGGGTGGAGATGTTCCTTCGGGTATACTGGACCGAGGCCGTTTAGGGCTTTAAAGGTCAGCACCAACACTTTGAATTGTACTGGGAGCCAGTGTAGGTCTTTCAAGACCGGTGTTATATGGTCTCAGCGGCCGCTCCCAGTCACCAGTCTAGCTGCTGCATTCTGGATTAGTTGCAGTTTCCGGGTCACCTTCAAAGGTAGCCCCACGTAGAGCACATTGCAGTAGTCCAAGCGAGAGATAACTAGAGCATGCACCACTCTGGCGAGACAGTTTGCGGGCAGGGAGGGTCTCATCCTGCGTACCAGATGGAGCTGGTAGACAGCTGTCCTGGACACAGAATTGACCTGTACATCCATGGACAGCTGTGAGTCCAGAATGACTCCCAGGCTGCGCACCTGGTCCTTCAGGGGCACAGTGACCCCAATCAGGACCAGGGAGTCCTCCACACCTGCCTGCCTCCTGTCCCCAAAAAACAGTACTTCTGTCTTGTCAGAATTCAGCCTCAATCTGTTAGCCACCATCCAAGTCTGGTTGTGCCCAGCCCGCCTTCCTGCTCTGCTCTTGGGTGCGTGACACTGGCGTGCGAGCGAGGTGTGGAGCGGGTGTGACTTTTGATGCTCCATGGCTTCTCTTCAGTCTGCTCCTATTCGGGATCAA